CACATTGGGCTCCCTGCTCCTTGGGAGCCTGCTTCTCCCTCTGCCTCTCTCTCCCTCTGCCTCTCTCTCTCTCTCTCATGAATAAATAAATAAAATCTTTAAAAAAAAAAAAAAGATCCAACATAGGAGAGAGGTGAAGGAAATCCCCAGATCCCTAATGGTTAAGTGGGTTTCCCGTTGCTGTGCTGCAAAGCAGATTTCCCCAAAGCTTAGCAACTTCAAACAACCATTTTATCATGCTTCCAGATTCTTTGGATCAAAAATTCAGACAGAGCACAATGGGAATGGCTTGTTCCATGTTGTTGGAGTCCTTAGCTATAAAGAGTCTATGCCTAGAGGTGACCTGAAAGCTGGGAGCTGGAATTATCTGAGGCATATTTACTTGCATAGTGAGTGGTTGGTTGTCAGTAGACAGCTGCACCTACCAGAGCACCTACACATGGATTCTCCCTGTGGCCTGGGCTTCCTCACAGAATGGCCACCTCAGGGTAATCAGATGATATGTGGCAACTCAAAGTGAGCATCAGAGCTTCTAAGTGAATATCCTAGCAAGCGAGATGGAGGTTGTATCACTTTGTATGATCTAACCTTGGAAGTTACCTTGGACAAGTAGAGAAAGTCACTCTTTCCTCTGCATGCTACAGGTTACAAGTGACTCACTGTTGGCCCAGATTCGAGAGGAAGCCACATACACCTCACCTCTCCATGGGAGTAGTGTCAAAGAACTTGTAGACCTGTCTTAAAACTGCTACAGGGGTTGTCCTGGGTGAGTTAGCAGTAGGTGTAGCAGGGAAGCAGCTCAGATTGGAAGAGGCCAGAAGGTCCGAGCAGAGGTTGATTTATGGGGGTGACATCATTAAAAGTCCCTGATACATCTGGACATCTTGGGAAGAGATTTTTATTTTTTTTTAATTTTTTTAAAAGATCTATTTATTTATTTATTTGAAAGAGAGAGAGAATGAGAGAGAGAGAGCACATGAGACGGGGGAGGGTCAGAGGGAGAAGCAGACTCCCCGCCGAGCAGGGAGCCCAATGCGGGACTCGATCCCAGGACTCCAGGATCATGACCTGAGCTGAAGGCAGTCGCCTAACCAACTGAGCCACCCAGGCGCCTGGGAAGAGATTTTTAGAGTAGTGCAGGGAGATTGAATTATTAGTAAGTACATATTAAACAAAATAATTGATTATTAACTCTGGGTGGACAATACTTATATAAGGGAAAATTTCATGTGAATTCATGTGAGTATCATTTACACAGGGACAATAATGTAAACATCAATTACTGTACTAACCAAGTAGCATGATATAACTTATATTGGGAAGATGAGGGATAGGAAGGGCATATCATATGGTGAGTTGGATATGGGAGAGGAAAGAGAGAATGTCCCTATCATCCATCCATAATTAGTGCATACAAATTAAGAAAAAGCATGCCATTTGGAGACATATTCTGAAATAATCAGCCAAAGGGAGGAAAAAGTATTACAGGAAATGGCAGGAGACGGGTTCAGGGGAAGAAAGCAGGATTTCTGTTTTCAAAACTTTGACTCTTTAACCTATGTGGCGGTCCAACTTTGATGAAAATAACTAAAAAACAAACAAACTTTCTAGCAAAAGAAACGCTAGGTCCAGATCATTTTACAGGTGCATACCACCAATCATTTAAGCTAATCCCTATTATATATAAACTGTTTCAGAGACTAGAAAAAGAAGGAACATACCCTCATTATTAGGTGATGAGCCTGCTATGGTCTGATTGTTCATGTCCCTCCAAAGTTATATGTTGAAATCCTGTGGTATTAGAAGGTAGAGCCTTTGGGAGGTGCTTAGGTCATGAGGGTGGGGCTTCATGAATGGTATTAGTGCTTTTGTAAAAAAGGTTCTAGAGAGATCCCTTGCCTCTTCCACCACTTTGAGAACACAGTGAGAAGGTCCCGGCTATGAATCAGGAAGAGGGCCCTCACCAAAATGTGACCATGCTGGCGCCTTGATCTTGGACTTGTCAGCCTCTAGAGCTGTGAGAAATAAATTTCTGTTGTTTATAAGCCAACCAGTTTATAGTATTTTGTAGAGGAACCCGAACGGACTAAGACAGAGCCTAATATTACCTTGACCCCAAAGCCAGATAAGGAGCTATAACAATAAAAAACATGCACCAGACTTGCTTAAGAGCATAGGTACACTCCCAGTCCCCAGCCTCTGGGAGCTGCGAGAGAGCTTCTCTGTCCTGAGATGGAGGCAGACGGAACCCAGGCTGTGAGTGTGAAGGCTGAAGGGTTGCGGTGGGAATAGAGACCTGTACCTTATAAGCCAGGGGGCTATAGGTTTCATATAGCTGCTCTTTTGTTTCCTTTCAATATTTTGGTAACTTAAAAAAGACATTTGAAAGAAAAAAAAAATAGGTACAGAAATTCTAGGTGAAAAATGGCAAGCCAAATCAAGCAAGAAGTGCACGTGGGCCTGTGCATGCGCGTGCACTCACCCCCACACATGCACCAGGAGCACATTTTGTGTAACCCAGGAATGCAAGGAATGGCTTCACAGTGGGCCTTGAGTTGGCAGTTGGCTGCCCTGAGCCTGTCATTTTTCCCTCTGGGGCTTCCAGTGCTGTTAAGGAGAGCCAGCGCACTCTACAGTCCTCGTTATTATCACTGCCCTGGAACTTGCAAGCACCAAAGCCGCCCCCTGTTCCAGTGCCAGACCTCCCCCTGTACCTCGTATCAGCTGACTGTGGGTGAAAGCCGTGGTGATTGTGATGCCACTGCATACCAGGGGTCCTCACACCTGACTTCCCACCAGCTGGAGTTCTGATTACCACCAGACTGGCGGGAAAGACCAACTCCAGACTCGCATCCTGAGGGTCTGCTGCCTTAGGACCCTTCTGATGCCAGCTGTCATAGCCTGGGTGCCTCATAAAGCGGAGTCTGAGGCAGTGGGAGTCTGTGCTGTCATTCGCATCTCCAGAGAGGACTGAGGAAAGGGGCTGGAAGGAGGAAGAGCCAATCCGAGAGTGTGTTACTGAGCTGCCATTGAGTGCAGTTGACTGTTTCGTCTCGTGGCACATCCCCTCAGAAGCCGCATAAACTGCTGGCTCCTGCCTTTTGCTGGTCAGAGGTCTGCCTTGTGTGGCTGGAGCAAGGGTCTCTTGATGCCTCAGTGGATGTGAGAGCAGCTGCCTCCACGGTAATGAATCTCAGCAGTGGATGCCCCTGGCTCCTTGTCTGAGGGAACCGCAGCCTGATGGAGGGAACCGCACGTGCCGTTGCTCGGGCTGTTCTGTGCACATGTGCACCCCTGAGGAGACAAAACTGAGATGGCATCCTTGCCATATGGAAAATAATCTAATCCCTACCTCACTCCATACCCTAAGCAAAATACTTTTCAGCAAAGATCTCAAACAAAATTTATTTATTTTCAAATGGAATTTAATTCTATTATCATTATTTGTTTTGTTTTGTTTTTGTCTTTTTTTAGAGAGGGGGACAGAGAGAGAGGAGGAGCAGAGGGAGAGAGAGAATCTTAAAGAGGCTCCACACCCAGCACAGAGCCCGACATGGGCTCGATCTCACAATCCTGAGATCATGACCTGAGCCAAAACCGAGAGTGGGACGCTTAACTGACTGAGCCACCCAGGTGCCCCTCAAACAAAATTTAAAGAAGAAAATATAGGAGATATCAAAAGAGTCCTTGAAACAGAAGCATAAACCACAAAAAGTTGATATATTTTATATTGAAATTTTAGAAACTGTACATCAAAAGATAATATGAGTTATAAACTTGGAGATGTTTACAAACATATACCTTATAAAGAATTAGCACCCAGCATATATCAAGAACTGCTACAAATCCAGAGAAGGACAAAGTATACAATGGCAAAATGGCAAAAGGATATGGACAGACAACTCACACAAGAGGAACCCCAAATAGCAAATAAACATATGAAACAATGCTCATTATCATTAATAACAGAGTAATGAAGATTAAAACCATAATATGGGTCTCTCCACACTTGGGTGTGGTTCACAGATGGACTGGTGCAAATGTTGTGTTGGCCAAAAATGGACAAGTGTTGACTTAGGAATACATACCTATGAATAAAAGTATGAAGACACACACTTCACATTTATATAGCTGTTATCTGGTGGAGGGCAAGGAGGCTGGGGTAGGGCTTCATCTGTATTTTTAATGTTTTTTTTTTTTTTCTTAAGCTGGGTGATGGAAACATGGCATTCATCATGTTATAATTTATACATTTTTTTCCAATATAATATTTCACAAAAGAGAAGCAAAAGATGTGTACATGTACTGAGCTCCTCTTTTGTGCTAGACCCCGTGCGGAGTGCTGGTGGGGGTTAGCAGTGTGTGAGTTCCAGGCCTTGCCCCTGGGGGTCTCCCAGTCTTAGAGAGGGAGAGGAGAAGGTAGGATTTAATAGGGGCTGCACGGGTTGAGTGGTGGAGGGAGGCCCAATTAAACCCTGCCACACAGGTGCCCGCAACCGCCTCTTGACTGGGCCCATGGGAAGAAGTGGCCCAAAGGGATATGTGGGGAAGAAGTCAGCAAAGTAAGGAGCCAGGTGGGCAGCACTTTGGAGCTGTATGTCCTGGGCTCAAATCTCAAGATTTGTTACTTACTGCTTAAGGTGCCTCTTTGCACTTTAGCTTCTTCGAGGTAAAATAGAGATAGCTCCCACCTTTTCCTGGTTATTGTGAGGCTGGGGGGTGCGTGGCAGATGCTCGACAAACAGTAGGTCTTGTTTTAAAGAGGGCAAAGCATAGGTCAGATCTACTGCCGTCTTCATGTTCACTTTGTATTTTATTTTTTTCAAATACAATCTAAGGTAAATGGAGGGGCATGAGGAATCCCCCCGTGCCCATACCCCAGCCCGGACTCATTTCATCTACGCCTCTATCCCCTTTCCATGTTGTGTAGTCAGTCTGGGCCTCATGTCACTTGGCCATGTGCATGCTGTCTAAAAGAGCTCCCCTTGACCTCTGGGCAGATGGTGATCTCCCTGCAGAACATCACGGCAACCGGCCGCTACCTGCGAGTCCTCCCGCCTTCTACACCACACTTCGCTCTGGGATTGGGTGAGTCACTCTAGCAGTGGTCTGGACCACCTCAAAATTGTATGTGGGGCTTGCTCCTGACTGTCAGAGGAGCCTGGGCCCACCTTTCCCTTAGCAGTCCCCGGGGCCCTCCCGCTCTGCCAATAGCCTGCCCCGCTCCTGCCCATGCTCCTGGTGATGTCTCTGAGTCCTGCCGGCCCCTTTCCCCAGGCGCCCCCCCCAGGCCCTGGGCCTGCCCTCTCCTCACCCTCCATGCTGCCACTGCCCCCAGTCAAGCCATCCTCATTCCTCACTCAAACCATTGTGGGGGCTTCCCAGCCAGCCTTTCAGCTTCCACGACACAGTGCTTTTTCCAAGAATAGCTCTGGTCATGTCATTGCCCTCCCCAACCATGCTCGGAAGCTCAAATGGCTGTCTGCTGGGTACAAAATAAATTCTAAGCCATCAGGCTGGACCTGGCCTCCCCTAACTATTCCAGATGGACCATATCACTCCCCCACCCACTTGCCCAGGCCCTGGTGTTTTCACCTGGACTCCGTGCCCTAGCAGCCTGTCCCCCTTGCACGCCCTGGTGGTTCTGCCATCAGCATGGCTTTGACCCAGAAGGCATCTGCTCATGGAGCAGCCCAGCTGTGATGGGGTCTACCTGTGCCCTCTGGTTGCCGCCCATAGCACTTGAACCCAAGCCCCGGTGGCTGGCTGGTCCCCAAGTCCTCATCTGTTGCTTTTGTCATGCACAGGGATGTTCCCAGGAAAAGGCGGAATGGTGGCTCCTGGAATGACCTGCCAGTACATCGTCCAGTTTTTTCCCGACTGTCTTGGGGATTTTGATGATTTTATCTTAGTCGAGACCCAGTCAGCCCACACACTCCTAATCCCCTTGCAGGCCCGGAGGCCGCCCCCAGTGCTGACATGTGAGTGTGTACTCTGCCTTCCTTGGGATTCAGTTAGGGTTGCCTGCTCTCAGGGCCCCTTTGTGGCAGCCCATGACTTGGTCCTCCTGGGCAGGGGCTTTTGGGTCCTAAGGAGACACCTGCTAGCAGCTTCCATACAACCTTCCTCTGTGTCAGGCCCCAACTGTCCTACTTCCCAGTGGAGGCTGACTCAGAATTACACACAGCAGGAGAGGAGGCCAGCAGCCTAGCTAGCCCCAGCTCAGGCTTTGCTGGCTCCTGGATCCCCGCGTGGGCCTGCGCCACACTGAGCCAAGGAAGGGGTACCTGGGGCCCTCAGCAGATGTCACCTCTGTGGCTGTGTGGGTGGCTTCTTTGGGAAACCTGACTTTGGCTGGGCTCCCTCATTAGCAGCAAGCCTCTTCAGCTGGGCACAGGACTCTGCCCCACAACCCCCAGGGCCATGCTGCGTGGCCCTAGCTGAGGCCTGAGTCAACAGTGAGCACAGACGGGGTGCCTGGGTGGCTCAGTCTGTTAAGCATCTGCCTTCGGCTCAGGTCAGGATCCCAGGGTCCTGGGATAGAGCCCCTCATTGGGGTCCCTGCTCAGCAGGGAATCTGCTTCTCCCTCTCCCTCTGCTGCTCCCCCTGCTTGTGCTCTCTCTCTCTCTGTGTCAAATAAATAAAATCTTAAAAAAAAAAAAAAAAAAAACAGTGAGCACAGACTCCTATTGATCTAGCCAGCAGTGCATGGAGTCCAGTGGCTGCCATGTGGGTGCAGGGCTCAGGGCGTGTCCCCATTCATCCTCTCTGCTCTGGGTGCTGGGCCAGAGCCCCTGCATCCTTCCATGGCTGCTCTGAGTTCTGGCCGGACCTCAGGTGAACAAGGGCGACAGGGGCTATTCAGAGCGACATGTTATTTCTGTTGATCTTTTCCTACGGCTCCAGTATCACCAGTGTTGGACTGCGGTTACTGCCTCATTGGGGGAATGAAGGTAACCAGATTCATCTGCAAAAACGTGGGCTTCAGCGTTGGCAAGTTCTGCATTATGCCTAAGAAGAGCTGGCCGCCACCAAGTTTCAGGGTGAGTGATCACAGACTGCTACCTGAAGCAGGAGCAAACCCATCCAAGGAAATCCCGCCCACCCCCATCCCATGAGGAATGTGCAGGAGTGCACCTGTGACTGGAGACACACAGACAAAAGAATTGTGTAACGTCTGTCTCGCCCAGCTGCCGTAATCAACGTGTATGGAGACGAGCGCTGTAGTTCTTGTCACGCCACCGAAACCTGTGTCACCTGGGCACCTTGTATCTCCTCCCTTATCCTTCCACGCCTGGCTCAAGTGTCACTGCATTTACTCCTTCATTCAGTCATTACTGTTACATTACTGGCAAATGTTTTCATAGATCCGAGGTCCTAAGTTGGCAGCTCTTTGGCTGAATTCTGTGTGTGTATTTATTTGGCACAGTGCTCAAAAACATTTTTTGGGACAACATTTAAAACTAGGGAGATTTCACCTAAAAATCTGCATTTCCAGTCTCTGAAAAATTGGAGGGGTGCCTGGCTGGCTCAGTTGGTAGAGCATGTGACTCTTGATCTCAGGGTTATGAGTTTGAGCCCCACGTAGGGTGTAGAAATTACTTAAAAAAATAAAATCTTTAACAAGAGAAAAGAAAAATTGAAGGATGTGCAGCGCTGAGCCAGGACTCCCCGTGGCCCCTTGGCTGGAGCCGAGCGCCGGCACCATGGACCGTGTGCTCACACTGTTATTTTTCAGCTCTGTTTCTCTGTAACTGTGTCTCTGGGAAACAGGTGATAGATCCAGAGGACTCCATGTTCCAAGACCATTTCACTCACTTCTGTTGCCCGCCAGGGTCCTCTAGGTGTGGGTTTGTGTCCCTAGCGCGCTGAGGTGGTAGCTCTCCTCGACCCCGGGCCACCCATCGGGGATGGAGGCAGCCACACAGGGCACTGGGGTGGGGAAAGGACTATGCTTGGGAGCCCTCCTCCGGGGCGAGGCCACCTCTCACGCTTCTGCTTCATGTCAGTGGTGTTCCTTCTGCCTCCTACCAGGGCTCAGCTCCTCATGGGTGTTCTGTGAGCCTTCAGCCCAGGGAAGGTGGAGGGAGTGCTTGGGGAATGGGCGAGCCTCCGTTTCTTCATTGGCTGTGTACTGGATGATCCTTAAGGTCCTTCAGGTTGCAAAAGAGATGTTTGGAAGAGAGAAGTGTGTAATCGGAGTGCTGGATTTTACAGTCTCTTGCATTCTCTTGTGTAATCTTCCGCTTTTCTTTAAGGCTGTTGCAACCATTGGCTTCATTGAGCAACGTCCTTTTGGAATCCTGCCTTCGGCGTTTGAGCTGGCTCCGGGGCAGGCCATAGGTATGGAGGTAGGTAATTAGACATCACGTATAGTTTCTCCTCTTTTCGATTGGCCGTGGCTGTTTCCTCAACTACTTATGTGATTTCATTCGCCTCTGTGTTTTCGGGACTTGAATACCCACTCCCATTCCAGGATGGTTTCTCTGTAGGAGAATGTTCTTACATTCTGTGGGGTGATGTCATTTGACTCTCATGACCCCTCTTTTTTTTTTTTAAAGATTTTATTTATTTATTTGAGAGAAAGAATGAGAGAGAGAGAGAGCACATGAGAGAGGGGAGGGTCAGAGGGAGAAGCAGACTCCCTGCCGAGCAGGGACCCCGATGCGGGACTCGATCCCGGGACTCCAGGATCATGACCTGAGCCGAAGGCAGTGGCTTAACCAACTGAGCCACCCAGGCGCCCCCCTCTCATGACCCCTCTTACACAGCAAGTGCAGATAGCCCTAGCACTGCATCATGATCCCCCATTGCTGCTTGTCCACACCGTTAGCCTGGGAGTCCCTCCCATCTCAGCTGCCGCCGGAATCTTCCTTTGGTTCTTTGGTCTCTCTTGGACACCTCCCCCCACCCCCAGCAGATCTAGTGCCTGGCTTTGTCTGCTTTTTTCCTCTTTATCCGCAGTTATATGCTTGGCCAGGCCTGCCTGCCTTCCTTCAGCCTTATTCTGGACCTCTGCCAAAGCTCCCGGACTTGGATCTGCTGGCTGTGGGGCTTGTCCTTTCCTAACCAGCTTCCTTCAGTGGTCCCTTCAGCTCCTCACACCTGCTCACTGATCCCCAGCACAGTCTGTGAGGAATGATGATGTCTCCCTGCCCCTTTTGCTCCACACTTTCGCCTTCCCTGACTCCCCTGTCCAGGGATCAGACTCTGAGCCTTCCTCACTAGCCTGTTGGAGGAGGCACTGACATTCAAGAGTGAACGCTGTCTGGTTTCTAGGGAAGGGGGTTTAAGCCAAGAGCCATAGGATTTTCAAACTACCTACCGCAATCTCCTGAGAATCTTGCAAACGCACCGGTGTCTTGGCCCCGTCCTGAGGTTTTGAGTTAATGGGCGTGGGGTTTGCCTGAGGCGTAGGATTTTTAAAGCCTTGCAGGTATGCGGCAGAGTTTGCGGACCACTGCTGTAAGCTGCTTTCCCGTGGTGAAAAGGCAGGCTTCCTTTATTAGCTGCTTTCCTGTGTCAAGCGCCTGACGGGATCTTGTTTGGGAGTCCTGGAGTGATGCCTTCTTGTTCATGTCTGTGCTAATCTGATCCCCGATAAGAACCTGGCTTTGGGGGTTAGGATGAAGCCAATTCAGGGCGTTGTAGGGCTTTGTCAGACCTCACCTGCTGATGGCTTGGGTCCTCTCGCCTGGTCCAGGCCTTGTCAGTACCTTACGGTCTGGCTTTAAGGAATTGGAGTGGGTCACCGCTGACCAGGCCGGGACACCCCCTCGTCCTGTCTTCCTGTGATCCCCAGAGAAAGGAAGAGGGAGCAGCAGGACTCTTTGGAGAGCAGTGAGGAGTCAAGGGGAGGTTTTTCCCCTTGGCATCCCTTGTGCATTTTATTTATTGATTGTTTGGGGTTTGTTTTAAAATGTGTTCATATTTCCAGGGCGCCTGGGTGGCTCAGTCGGTTAAGCGTCTGCCTTCAGCTCAGGTCATGATCTCAGGGTCCTGGGAACGAGTCCCGCATCGGGCTCTTTGCTCAGCAGGAAACCTGAGCAAACCTCCCTCTGCCTGCCACTCCCCCTTTGTGTACTGTCTCTTTCTCTCTGTGTCAAATAAAATCTTTTAAAAAATGTATACATATTTCCAAATAAGGAACAAATTCACATGATGAAAAATCAAAAGCTGCAACTAGGTTAAGAGTGAAGTGCTTCCCACAAATCGCTGCCCATGCTGTACTCTGTTCTGCCCACTCGCTGTTCTGCTCTGTCTTAAACAGCGTTCTCCTGTTTGTCACAGCTGCATAGTATCCCACTGCACCAATGATCCATAGCTCAGGTCAGCTGTCCCCTACTGAGGGCCACGACGATTCTTTCTGATCTCTGGCCATTTCGGCAACTCCATACATCACTCTGTCCAACTATGAGTCTCCCGGCAGATTCCAGGCCTTGAAGTGGGTTTGCCGACTCGGGGGTCTCTGCTGGTCAGAACTGTGATTCACGTTGCCCAAATCCCCACCACATGGGTATGTCAGGGTGTCTGTTCCCTCACACCCTTGCCAATTACAGTGTGTTATCAAACATAAAAGAAAAACTGTTCAAAAGAAAAAAGAGAGAGAAAACCTGCTGTCATGCATATTTTAAAGCATATACAAAAATGGAGAGGCTAGTTTAAGAACTCACTCGGGTCCTTAGCCCCCAGTCAACATTGATCAACTAACTCTTCACCAACCTCATTGCATCTACGGCCCTCCGTCCCTTCCAGCCAAACCCCGCCTTTCCCCTCCAGATGATTTTGAAGAAAATTCAGCTCTCTTGTCATTGCATTTCTGATTGCCGGCTTTCTGCTCTTTGCCAGTATGAAGGGTGAAAACTTCTTCTGGGTGGTTTTCGTTTACATTTCTTTTATCATGAATGAGGTTAAACGTGTTCATGTGTTGAAGAGCTGTTTGTACCTCGGTCTCTGTGAACTTTTTCTTCATGCCTTTCAACATGCTTCTTGCATTAGTCAGGGGTGGGGCCTTGGCAGAAACCCCTGGCCTTAGGGAGAAGGTCGGGGGTGGGGGGGGGGCAGGCAGCCGGGAGGGAAGTGAGAAGTAGAGAACAAGGGGGGGTGTGTCTGAGAGGAGGAGGGAGCTAACAGGGCAGCCCTTCTCTCCGCCAGGTCTTGTTCCTCCCGACGAGCCTAGAAAAGGCAGAGCAGACCTTCATCATTGTATGTGACAACTGCCAGATAAAGGAGCTGGTGACCGTAGGTGGGCTTGTGTGTACTCCCAGGCCTGGGGCCGGGGAGGGCGGGTACCCTGACTCCAGAAGCTGCTACACTAGGCTTGGCCGCGGTACAGCTCTTACCACCCTATCTCAGGGGGTAAGAGGGGGTGCTGCAGCCTCCGGGCTCTGGGGCCTGGTTTGGGGCCTGTTGCTCTGGTCAGACATTGGAGACCCAAGTCAGTGTGGCCTTTGGGACAATCCCAAGGAACCTTCTCGTGAGAGACAGATGGGAACCTGGGATGAAGTCTTTAATTTCTTCATTTTTAAACTCACCTCAATCTCCTTTGGGGAATTGCCAGAAACTTACACATAAATGACCAGAAGCACCCCAGTTTCTGTGGAGCTAGAAGGGGCATCCTGCTGGATTTCCCCAAGATGACTTCCTTCCTTCCTTCCTTCCTTCCTTCCTTCCTTCCTTCCTTCCTTCTTCCTTCCTCTTTCCTTCCCTCCCTCCCTCCTTCCCTCCCTTCCTTCCTTCCTTCCGTTCATCCTTCCATCCGTCCATCTGTCTGTTCATCCATCCTTCCATCCAGTTTCACCCAGCAAGCATTAACTGAGTACCCACTATGTGCCAGGCTATCAAAATCACCTCCTTGTAGTCTGGGAAGATATGGGTACAGGATCTGTGTGCTGATGGCCCCCTGTTCCCCTCTTTGTACACTTCCTGGGGTCATGGTCAAGGCCAGTTGCATGTGGACAGTGGCATGGATCCTGTGACAGCCTTTGGCCACAGAGTCCTGATTTCAGCCCCAGTGAAACTTTACCATCTTACTGTGTCAGGAATCGGGCAGCTGGTTGCTTTGGATCTGATCTATATTTCTGGCGAAGAAAGTCAGCCAGAGCCTGGAGAGCTTACAGACTTAACAGCCCAACACTTCATACGCTTTGAGCCTGAGAACCTTCAGTCCACAGCTAGAAAGCAGCTGATTATTAGAAATGCTACGTGAGTGATGCTGTTCCGTACCCGCCAACGTGTACCCTTTCTTCTTCCGCACCTGGCCCAGAGTTCCCAGGGAGGCCGGAGGTTCCTTCCAAGGGCCAGATGGAAGAACCCAGCTTTGCACTGCCCATCATAGTAGCCACATGTGGCTATCAAAATTGAAATCAATTAAAACTAAAATAAAACTCACTTTTTCGGTGGCACCAGTCACATTTTAAGTACCAGCCACATGTGTAGCTTGTGACTCTCGTATTAGACAGAGCAGATAAGTAAGATTACCATTGCTGCTGTCAGTTATATTGGACAGTGTTGTTCTAGATCATCCTGGAGTATCCTTAGCCCAGAGCAGTTTTGCAGAGAGGTCTTGCCCTGCCCATGAGGGGAAGCCAGCCAAGTTCCAAGATCAGGCAGATTGTGACCAGTGGGTTCGGTTCCTGACCATCTTGTGAGCACCACCATTAAACTAGCACAGACCCTCCCTGGCGACCCCAGGCCTTACAAGGGTCTGTCTCCTGAGGTGATGAGCAGTACCCATCTGCCGTCACTCCCCATCAGCAGCATGCTGGAGTCCCGCCCCCCCCCCACCCGCCACTGTGCAGTTGGCACTTCTCTGTTGGGAGCCAGTGGGCACATCCTTCCGGACAGAGCTGTCCTGGGAGGCCACAGCTGGAGGGGTGGAGGGTGGTAGAGTGGGGAGTCCAGGGGGCAAACCTTTGGAACTCTCACGTGGTAGCAGACACTGCAAAAAATGTTCCGGATATCTACACCTTAATAGTTAAAGCCTGATTCCCTGTGTTTACCATTTTCCGTGAGTCCCCGTGGCTCTAACCCCCAACTGCTGTAGTGGAGAGAGGGAAGCTGTCTTAGGAGGTCTCCAGTGTGGACCCCCTGACTCACGTGCTCCCCCACTTCCTGTGCCTGGGTCCTTTCTGCTCACTCCTGGAGTGGGACCCAGCCAGGCAGGGGGTCAGAAGACTGGGCCTGGCAAAATTGGGACATAGATCCACTGCCCCCACAGGCACGTGGAGCTGGCCTTCCACTGGCAGATCATGAAGCCCAACCTGCAGCCCCTAATGCCTGGAGAAACCTACAGCCTGGACAGCCTCAAGTACCACCCCGACAGGGAGACGGCCTTCTCCATCCTGCCTGAAAGGGGGGTTCTCAGCCCCCACACAGACCATGAGTTCATCCTGAGCTTTTCTCCTCATGAGGTAAAAATGATGCCATCCTGGTAGTCATACATGATGGGGTCGTGGCACTTTCACCGCCTCCCCCCCCGCCCCCATCCTTGTCCTTTAGTGACACTGAAGCCGCCGCTGAGCCTGACGAGATCCCGGCATCCTCTGAGGCCGGCACTTAGCTGAGAGTGGGGCTGGAGGACAAAGCAGCGTCTCCTGCCTGGTCCCGATGGCACACATACCTTGCCTGCAGCAGGACCCTGGGCTCATTTCCTCAGCTCTGGTGTCTTCCGTGTTTCCACTGTGTCGGTGACAGTCGCATCTCTGCCCAGCCCCCAGCCTCCCCCAGAGACTGAGGTGCAGGTGCCAAGGGCCGGGTTCCCACGATGGGCTCCTATGTGAGGCCCTGTGTGTAACCCGAGAGGGGAAATGAGAGCTGAGGGTGAAGGGGGTGCTCCCCTGCCTGTCCAGCCGGCATCCGGCCCTACTGTTCTGGGAAGCCGTGGTGCCTCCCGCAGTTGAGGGCGCTGCCGAGAGGCAATGTCAGGGCCTGGAGAGCCTGTCCTTCCTGCCCGCTCAGGCCCTGCTGAGGTAGGAACGCCAGTCTTGAGACTGTGGTGGCCCCCACAGCCCGAGCGAGTCCTGCCTCCCATCCTGAGGTAGGGGGCGGTAGCAGGGAAGCAGCACCGTGGTTTTCGGAAGACCTCTCTGCCATGGCTCCCGGCTTCTCCAGGACAGCAGATTGGAGTGCGGTTTGTTTTCAGGGTACTGTGCTTGTCTTGCAGCCCAGGGATTTTCACAGTGTGCTCCAGATGGTGCTAGAGGACGTCCCAGAGCCCATGAAGTGAGCAGGGACTGGGCCCTATATGAGGGTGGGCAGTGGGGCCTGCCCTCCCCTTGGGGGTACGGGGGAAGTCGACGGCAAGGAGGGAAGGAGCCCCCTGAACCCCAGCAGGCCTTGATGGGGGAGTGCTTCTGCCTTGCCCTGGCACCTAGGCCCAGAGGGGCTCAGCCGCTGGGAACAGCTCGCTGGGCTCCACTCAGCCTTAGCACCGGGCAGCCAGGCCACTGGGCCCTGGGTGGTGGTGACTAAGTAGGAGAGGCTCTGTCCCGTCGGGGTCATCTCCACCAGCTCTCCCCTGGGCAGACAGTCAGGGTGGGTCTCCAGTCAGCCTCATGTGGAGACCCAGGCTGGGTGCCACTACGGCATAGTCCCGGGAGGCAGCAGGCCAGGCACCCCGTCCCAGTACTATCACTGTTTGGCTGGTTCGTGCCTCTGATTTGAGGTGCTTTAGGAGCTGTGGGTAGGGGAGTGCTTTCTTTTCACAAGACCACAGAGAAGGGACAGGTGAAGGCCATGCAGGGCCATGCTCCCAGCCATGTTCCCGGGCGGCGTTGGCTCTTAGCTCACGGTGGGTTTGTGTTCAGCTTGGAACAGGAAAACCTGAAGGATTCTTCCTACTCTGTGGATGACGTGATTGTCCTGGACATCGAGGTGAAAGGCTCAGTGGAACCTTTCCAGGTTCTCTTAGAACCGTATGCCCTCATCATCCCTGGGGAGAACTACATTGGCATAAATGTGAAGAAAAATTTTAAGGTACACTGTGGTCTCCCCCCAGCCTAGGCTGGCCAAGAGTGCACGGAACTTGGCATGAGTATAGGGAGGGTGTGGCTGGAGGCGTGGGTGATAGCCACTGCATAGATGACACTGTGCCCAGAGCTCTTGAACCTGACTCGATGTGCACAGATGACGGGCCGGGCATGTCTGTCATTTTACCAGCTCCCCAGCATCCTCCGAACGATAGGGCTGTGGGACCATTCCTGTGGTTGCGGGTCTTTGGTGGGATATGTGCCCACAAACCCTGCCGTGTGGTGTCGGTGCTGTTGGATGGCCAAGAAGTAGCCGGGAGGGGGTCGGGAGGACCCGTTGTGGGCCCACAGCCCCGCAGTCCTTTGGTGGGTACAGATTTGCGCAGGGTGGTGCCTGGGGAGCCTGGATTGGGGCGTGTCTTGCAGATGTGGAACAACAGCAAATCCCCCATCAGATACTTGTGGGGGAAGATCAGTGACTGCCACATCATTGAAGTGGAACCTTGCATGGGGACCGTAGGTACTGCAGGGACGGTGGGGAGGGGGGGCGAGACCTCCTGGGGCTGGCTGGGTGGGGGGGGCGACCTGAGAGGACAGGGGGCCTGTGCAGGGGTTCAGGGGGTTCCGGGATCAGCTCCAGCTGCAACCTGGCATGTGTGGTGGATGAGAAGTCAGCGGAAGCCAGACATCTGGGCCCAGCCGCAGTGGGGAACTTTCCCCCTCTCTTTCTCCAGCTCACTTCCCCCTCTCTTCCAGAGCCCAATGAGGTGGAGGATTTTGAGTTGAGCTTTACCGGGGGTGTTCCTGGCCCAACAAGCCAGGACCTGCTGTGTGAAATCCAAAACTCACCCTCGCCAGTGGTATTACACATTGAGGCGGCCTTTAAGGTGCTGCCGGGGGCCTGCACGGCTGGGTGGGCCAGCAGGGTGGCAGGGGTAGGGTGCAGAGTCCGCTCCCAAGGCGGCCCAGTGACAGGCCCCTCTGGGTGTCTCAGGGGCCCGCCCTTGTCATCAACGTCTCAGCCCTTCAGTTTGGTTTGCTGCGCCTGGGGCAGAAAGCCACAGACTCCATCCAGATCCAGAACGTCAGCCCACTCCCGGCCACGTGGTGCATGAAGGAGAGCCTGGTCTGCCTCCAAGAGAGGCGTGAGGGCGTAAGTCGGGCACCGCTGGCCCCAGCACTGCCGCCCCTCCCCCCTGGGAGCCGATCCACCTGTGGTGTAGGAAGGGAGATCTGTCCTGATGCATTCAGACCATTGAGGCTGGAGAGGAAGGGCCTGCCTGGTCACTCCTGCCTGGCAGTGTCCCCGGTTCTCCCCATCTCTGAGGCAATTGGGCTCCCCCGGACAGCAGAACTTAACCCCGAACTGGATTTTCCTGTTCCTTTCTCCACCATCTGATGTGGAAATAAGACATGGGTTTCTCCCTCTGTCAGAGCAGGCTGAGTTGGGAGGAAAATAGACAGCTGAGCTGGGCCGGACGCTCCCAGGCCTCCAGAGGGGGTCCGGCCCTCAGGGCTCACCCCCAAGGCTCCCAACCTCCCAGGGACTGTGCTCGCAGTTTGAGTACCTGCCACCAGGGGGCACTTGCGCCGGGCTTGCGGCCCCAAACAGGAGAATCCAGCTTGCATTTCCCCTCAAGTAGCTCTTTCCTTTTTTTTTTTTTAAGATTTTATTTATTTATTTGACAGAGAGAGAGAGATAGCAAGAGCAGGAACACAAGCAGGGGGAGTGGGAGAGGGAGAAGCAGGCTTCCCGCCGAGCAGGGAGCCCGATGTGGGACTCGATCCCA